AAATAAATAAAATAAATAAAATAAATAAAATAAATAAAATAAATAAATAAATAAATAAATAAATAAATAAAATAAAAAAATAAAATAAATAAAATAAAACAACATGCTCTAGGGCCGTGATGGCGAACCTGTGGAAGTTTTAAAGAAGAGATTGGAAAACCGTTTGCCTGAAATGGTGTAGGGTTTCCTGCCTAAGCAGGGGTTGGACTAGAAGACCTCCAAGATCTCTTCCAAATCTGTTATTCTATTCCCATTCCCAATTCCATTCCATTCCATTAATATCCAAACACACATGGCCAATAAAACTATTCTACTCCTATTCTACTTTACTCAATTCCAATCACACACTGCCAATAAAGCTACTCTACTCCCATTCTACTCCACTCATTTCCAATCACACATGGTCAATAAAGCTACTCTACTTCTATTCTACTCCACTCATTTCCAAATACACATGGTCAGTAAAACTACTCAACTATTACTCTATTCTACTCATTTCCAATCACACATGGCCAAAAAAGCTCCTCTACTCCTACTCTACTCTCCAATCACACATGGCCAATAAAGCTACTCTACTTCTATTCTACTCCACTCATTTCCAATCACACATGGTCAATAAAGCTACTCAACTCTTACTCTACTCATTTCCAATCACAAATGGTCAATAAAGCTACTCTACTCCAGTGTTTCTCAACCTTGGCAACTTGAAGACGTCCGGACTTCAACTCCCAGAATTCCCCAGCTTTCTGGGAGTTGAAGTCCGGACATCTTCAAGTTGCCAAGGTTGAGAAACACTGCTCTTACTCCACTCATTTCCAACCACACAAGCCCAATAAAACTATCCTACTCCCATTCCATTCTAGTCCCTACGTTTTAGCTTCATTCCCAACCGGCGCAGCCTACAGAGAAATCTTTCCCCAGCCCAACTCATCTCCGGGACAGCGAGGCTCGTCCCCGCCCACTCCCCTGTCATGTGCCTCTCCGGGACCCGGCTCAGCTGACGGCGGGAGCGCGCACGCTCTGGAACCGCCGCGCAAACCGGAGCGGTTTCAGTCTCCTGGGCGCCCGGGATGGCGCAGCGGACGGCGCTCCGGTTGCTGCCGCTGCTGTTTTTGCCGCCGTTGCTGCTGCTGCTGCTACCGCCGGGCGGCCGGGCGAAGGTGTGCGAGGGCCAGGGCCGCTGGCCGGTTCCATACAGGCGAGTCTCGGGGGCGGAAGCGGTGCAGGGCTCGGTTGGTGGGAGGCAGAGCGGGGAAGCCCTTCGGCCGGGCGGGCTTGGAGAGGTTACGCCTTCTCTCTCGTCCCGCAGGCGCTTCGATGGCCGTCCCCGGCCGGATCCCTTCTGCCAGGCGCGGTACACCTTCTGCCCAAGCGGCTCTGCCTTGCCGGAGATGCGGGAGACGGACGTCCTGGCCGTGTATCGCTTGCAGGCGCCCGTCTGGGAGTTCAAATACGGAGGGCTTCTGGGCCACCTGGTAGGACCGTTCCCTCCTGCCCTTCCGCGCTCACCCCGGAGTAAAAATCCCGAGGTTGATTGGGTTGGGAGTTCCACCTTTCTCCGGGAGGCCCAGGACTACCGCGGAGGGTTTGCCCGGTTGGTATCGAAGGAGCCCCGAGAATAGAATGGAGGGAGTTAGGAGTTAAGAGTACCTTTATTGGCTATGTGGTGGAAACTAATCAAGGAGAGAAGCAACTTAGTATTAAGGAGAAATTTCCTGACTCTTAGAACAATTAATCAGTGAAACTTGCCTCTGGAGCCGAGGTGGCACAGTGGTTAGAGTGCAGTACTGCAGCCACTTCAGTTGATTGCAGTTCTGTAGTTCGGGGGTTCAAATCTCACCGGCTCAAGGTTGACTCAGCCTTCCATCCTTCCGA